GAGGTAATAACTTATTTTCAAGGGAATGGGTGGAAAGATGTTATTTATTTGTCACTGGTTCATTCAGACACTCTGAGTGCCTACCAGGTACCAGATAAAGTCCTTGTCTTGGATCACTGCTCCAAGAATTAAAATTTGTCATTTTATTTCCACCTCTCACACCCAGCACTTGAACCCTCTTATTACATCAGAATTCCACACTGTGGATGAAAAGACTCAAACTCTGTAAAATATTTGGAGAGATTTATTCTGAGCCAAATACGAGTGACCACAGCCCATGACAAAGCTCTCAGGAGGTCCTGAGAACATGTGCTCAAGGTGTTTGGGGTGCAGATTAGTTTTACACAATTTAGGAAGATATGAGACATCAATCAAATACATTTAAGATATACCTTGGTTTGGTCCAGAAAGGCAGGACAACTTGAAGCAAGCAGGGCTTGGGGGTTAGTGCTTCTGGCTTATAGATAGATTTAAAAATGTTCTGATTACGCCGGGCGCGGTGGCTCAAGCCTGTAATCCCAGCACTTTGGGAGGCGGAGGCGGGTGGATCACGAGGTCAAGAGATCGAGACCATCCTGGTCAACATGGTGAAACCCCGTCTCTATTAAAAATACAAAAACATTAGCTGGGCATGGTGGCGCGTGCCTGTAATCCCAGCTACTCAGGAGGTTGAGGCAGGAGAATTGCCTGAACCCAGGAGGCGGAGGTTGCGGTGAGCCGAGATCACGCCATTGTACTCCAGCCTGGGTAACAAGAGTGAAACTCTGTCTCAAAAAAAAAAAAAAAAAAAGTTCTGATTGGCAATAGGAAGGAATGTCTGGGTTATGATAAGAGGTTATGGAGGCCAAAATTTTATTATGCAGATGAGGCCTCCATTTGGCAGGCTTCAGAGAGAATAGGTTGGAAATGTTTCTGATCAGACTTAAGGTCTGTGTTGATGGTAAATGCTGGTCAGCTTTTCCTGAATTCCGAAAGGGAAGAGGGCATAATGAGACATGTTCAACACCTGCTTCCCATGATGGCCTGAGCCAGTCTTCCAGGTGAATTGTTGAGTGCCCTGGCTGAGGGTGTCCATTAAGATGGTTGGGAGGGGTGGCTTTGAAGTTTATTTTTGGTTTACAACATGTAAATGTGTGTGTGGTGGTGGTGTTTCGCTCTTATTGCCCAGGCTGGAGTGCAATGGCACGATCTCAGCTCACTGGAATCTTGGCCTCCCAGGCTGAAGTGATTCTCCTGCCTCACCCACCTGAGTAGCTGGGATTACAGCATGCACCACTATGCCTGGCTAATTTTGTATTATTAGTAGAGAAGGGGTTTCACTATGTTGGCCAGGCTGGTCTCAAACTCCTGACTTCAGGTGATCCACCTGCCTTGGCCTCCGAAAGTACTGGGACTACGGGCGTGAGCCACTGTGCCCGGCCTACAACATGCAAAGTTTTGAGAGGAGACAGAAACCACCACCCTTTCTAGAAGAGTACAACGCTCCAGTCACCCCTGCAGTTGATCATGGACATGAGTCTTAGGCTCCACCAGTCAGATGAGCACCTGCTGAAGGAGCGTCATTGTCTCGGGTAAATACTCAGGGTTCGTGGTCTTGGGCCAAGAAGATGAAGGACACTTACGCACGAGGAGTGAATTTAGAAGAAGAGATTTAATAGGCAAAAGAAAGACAATGGGGAACAGCTCTCTCCCTTGCGAGAGAGAGGAGCGCCCAAATGGGAATTTTGGCCTGCAATGGGGGTGCATTGGATTTTATAGGCAGGCTTGAGGAGATGGTATCTGATTTATGTAGGGTCCATAGGTTGGTTGGACTAGGTGTGACATTTACACAGTGCGTGGGAAATGTTGTTCATCCCACCTGAATCCTATTATGCAAATAGGCTTTCTACTAGGTGGGTGCCATGTTGTCTCCTTATTGTACATGTGGATGGTGAAGAGAAGGGAAGATGGAGCCGCCATGCGAACATGCCTAGTCCCAGGTGTCCCTTTCCTATTGGCACAGCTGCCGCATTCACCCGTGAGAGCTCCCAGCTGCTTGTCTATGTCTGAAGCTTGATTTTACAGGCTGCTCTTTGTTAGAAAAGAAAATGATTTTGGGGCTGCTCTTCATTAAAAGGAAAACCTTACTGAGCACCTCTGTATCCTCACTATCTGCCTAAATAATGTCTTCTTAACTCCTCTATCACTGCCAGACTCTGAGCCAGACTGAGGCGACACAGAGAGGCTGGGACTGTGCAGAATGCATTTTAGTAAAGGTGGCTGAGTGGCAGTGGTGATGTCCAGTTTCCAGGCACAGCAGTGACATCTGTCCTAGCCTCAGGGTCCAGTGTCCAGCACCAGGGTGTCAGAGGTGTGAGCAGTGGCATCTGTGCTCAGCAGCAGGGGCAGTTGTTCTCAGGAGGGACCTGATCCAGCGTGGGCTGTGGATTCTCTCCCTAAATGTGTGGTTTCCATCCTGGTTCTGTGGTCTTCCCCACAATAAAATTAGCCCCCAATGCCATGTATTACTACTTTATGTGTACATTAGAGAAATTTTGTTTCCATAGTTTGCTCCAAGAAGTGAGTGAGAAATCAGCATGTGGCCCAGTGTCAGAGAGCAGCATTCAGAGGTGTTCTCTGTGCGAGAGCCACATCCTGAATTGTCTACCTGGCCTCTACCCCATGGTGGACAGATCAACAGGGAATATCACATCTCATAACTGATGATGTACATCCTACCTTTCCTTGCTGTGAGAAAAATCCTCTTTTAACCAAGGTTTGAAAACCCACCTGACCCACCCACCCTGGGAACTCTCTGATCTCTGATCTCAGTGGTTCCCAATCTGGCTGAGCAACAAGATTACTGGCGGGGGCTTAGCACTCAGGCCACTCTCTAGAACCCATGTCTCACAGTACTATGCACAAGACCGAGTAATCATTTATATAACAAGCCCGACAGGCAAGGCTGATGCACAGACATGTGAGAACCACATGTTCTTTCTATTCCAAGTGTGATCTGGAGACCAGCAGCAGGAGCTCTGGCCTTGTCATAAATCCAGAGTCTCTTGCTTGACTCCGGACTTCCTGGATCTCAGCACCATGTCCAGGTGATTCCTGTGCACATGGGAGGTCCTTGTCCAAGTGTCCTCTAGGCATGGGGTCAGAACTCTGCAGTCTGCTCTGGGCGTGGTCTGATCAGATCCCTTAGAACTGGAGGTCCAAGGCTCAGTCCTTGTGCTCATTCTTTTCCGCAATCACTGCCTTGGTGCCCTCATCCATGCTTGAGGTATTAAGTATCGTTTATATGGTGTGACCTCCTAAGTCTATTCTCTAGCCCAGTCCTTTCTCCTAAACTCTGGAGTTGTCTGTCCAACTTCCACCCCGGCTCCCTCACCTGCATTCCTAGTAGACAGCTCCTCCACTGAGTGCCTGGGATGCCCCCTCCTCGGTATACTCCTGCCAGAGTCCCCCCAGCTCTGCTGATAGCAGCCCCACCCTTCTAGTCACTCATTTTACAATCATGGGTGTCCTTGATTCTTCTTTCTCACACCACAGATACAATCCATTGGCAAATGCTGTGAGTCCATCTTCAAATGCATCCAGAATCCCCTCACGTCCCACTATTTCCCCTGCTAACACCCCAGTCAAGGTAACGACATCTCCAGCCCGGAATACTGCACTCGCTTCCCACTATTTTCCCCTCTGCCTCCCTCATCCCTGGCCTCTCAGTTCTGTTCTCGGCATTAGCAGTCAGCGACGTCCTTTTAAAAGAGAAGTCATATTATGTCCCTCTTCTGCTGAAAACTGTCCTGTAACTCCCATGTCACTCAGAGCAAGGGTCAGATCCAACTGCATCCCTCCTTAAGCCCACCGGCTCTGACCACACCTCTGACCTCATCTAGTTTCTCCTTGTCCAGCCCTCCTGGCGTCCTTGCTCTCCTGGGAACACAGACCCCTTCCTGGCCTAGTGCATTTGCCCCGGAGGTTCCCCTGCCTGGAAAGAACTTCCCCAGACATCTTCATTGACATTCCTCATGTCCCTCAAATCTTTCCTCAAAGGTCACCTTTGCAACAAGGCACACTGACTACCCAGCACAACAGCCACCTTCTCTGTCCCCACTGCCCACGCCCTGGGTCACCTGCCTCACAGCACTTTCCACTTTCTAGCACTTTCCTTCCTCACTCTGGTTATAGTCTGTCTATCCTCTGGATAGTGTATCTGCCTCTTCACACTGGAACATATGCTCCAAAAGGCTAGAGATTTTTCTGATTTTACTTCAGTGATGTTCACCAGATGCAGAACCATTCTGTCCTATGTCTGGCCAGCACCAAAGGTCAGTTAAATGATCACTGTAGAGCACCTCCCTGTTCTAGACAGTATCTTTTGCTAACATAGCCTCAGGCCAAATGCTATTTTGTGGCAGCTACAGCACAAGGTCCCCTCACACTGACATTAAGGCCTGTGCGTTTCTCAGCAGTGCTGCTTGTGGTCCTCCCTCCCCATCCCTCTTCCCACACCAACCGCCCCCTCCCACACACACTGCAGCACACAATCACGTTTCTCTCTTAAGGAACAATTCTTGACTATGTACCCAATTTTACAAACAAATATGAATCTAAATTAGACTCTGCTTTAGATTCATGAGTTGGGATTGCAGCCAGCACCAAGATCACTGGAATCAGGGCAGGGAGAGAGGGCAGGAGAGCAGAGCAGAAGAGGAGCCCTAGAAGGAGGCCAGGAGCTGAATGGGTCTGAAACTTTGTCTCAGAAACACAGAGACTCTTGTGTGCAGGGGCCGCCCTTGGTGATGTATGAGCCTCTGTGGTCACAGCTTTCGCTGGACAAGTTTTCACTGACAGGACAAGGACCGTGGAACAGTGAAGCTGACCCAGCTGAGGACTGACCACATAAAGCCTATGATGGACACAGCAGCAACTGGGCACAGGCCCCGTCCACACTCGGCTCTTCACAGCCTTCTCCATCCCCACCTGCAACAGGCTCAGCACGGCGAACATGCAGATTCTGGAAGGTTCTCAGGTCTTTATTTCCTCTCTCAAATTTCAGGAATTGACTTATTAATCCATCAACTTTTCATGGCAAATATTTGAGAAAACACATTTATTTTCAGATTCTTATTTTCATTAAGAAAGTAAGAGGTTGCAGCTCAGTGCACCATGAAGCTGAGACACAGATGGAGACACCCAGCCCCAGGTCTCTGGAACAGGAAAGATGACTGGGGAGGGAACACAGCTCAGCGTGGGGACAAGGGTCATGGTGGACACAGGGTGGGCTGTCTCTCCACCTCCTCACATTATGCTAACAGGGACGCAGACACATTCAGACACCTTTGCAGAAAGAGATGCCAGAGGCTCTTGAAGTCACACAGGGGAGGCGTGAAGAAATCCTGCATCTCAGTCCCACACAAGCAGCTGTCTCAGGCTACAGAAAACAATAGTCATGAACAAATTCAGTCAGTCATGATAAGTGATGACACTCTGAACAGCCCACCACACACTCAAAACGTCCCAATCAAAGAATCCCCACAACTCAGGCTTTTCCCTTCTGCCCCAATACCTGCCTACTTCAGGCCCCCCCCAGGGTCTCACCTTTACAAGCCGTGAGAGACACATCAGAGCCCTGGGCACTGTCGCTGCCTGGGGTAGAACAAAAACAGGACCTGGTCAGAGCCAGCAGGAGATGTGGGACAGGAGGAATTATGGGGTGGGTGAGCTCCTCCACACTCCCATCCCCAACTTACACGCAGCCTGAGAGTAGCTCCCTCCTTTTCCACCTGTGGGAAGAAAACTTCCTGTGAGGGGACAGGGAGGAGGCAGGGCCATGAGATTTTAAAGGAGCCTCCTAGTTTTGGACCCAAGAGAAGTTTCCAGAACTATGACTACGGACCCAGGAGGGGTCAGGAAACACGAGGAAAGCAGGTGTGGGTCCTGGACCAACCACCCTCCTAAGGTCTGTCCTTAGCAGGGACCTTCCCCTGACTTGTGACTGCTGGAATCAGGACCCTAACACCACAATCATCAAGGTTATACCTCTGTCCTTCATTGTCATATCTGCTTCAGGAAAGAGTAAGTGCTGGCATACAGGGCCCCAGGCTGGGTGCACATGGTCCATGTGTGGATAGTGATTCCCAGCAATGAGGCAGGACACATTTCTACCTGGGACTTGAAGCCTCCAGTGGGACAAGAAAACCCAGACCCCACTCCTCACCCCTTCCCTACCTGAGCTCTTTCTCCTCCACATCACAGCAGTGACCACAGCTCCGATGACCACAGCTCCTAGGACAGCCACAGCAATGATGCCCACGATAGGGATGGTGAGCTGGGAAGACGGCTCTGGGAAAGGAGGGGAAAGTGAGGGATGCTGACCCTGCTGAAGGCTCCAGAAGGGCTTCTGCTTTCTCTGAGAAGAAACATGACCCCGCATCCCCCCCTTGCCCATCCCCCTCCTTACCCCATCTCAGGGTGAGGGGCTCCGGCAGCCCCTCGTGCTGCACATGGCACGTGTATCTCTGCTCTTCTCCGGAAGGCACCACTACAGCTGCCCACTTCTGGAAAGTTCCATCCCCTGCTGGCCTGGTCTCCACAAGCTCCGTGTCCTGAGTTTGGTCCTCCCCATCCCGCTGCCAGGTCAGTCTGATCTCCGCAGGGTAGAAGCCCAGGGCCCAGCACCTCAGGGTGGCCTCATGGTCAGAGATGGGTTGGTGGGTCACATGTGTCTTTGGGGGATCTGACGGGATGAGTCAGAAAATTCAGGCATTTTGTATCTTTCATGGGACAACACAGCAGCACCGATGTGACCATCTTAGAATGGACAGGACACCTGGGGTGGGGAAGGGAGCACAGAACCCTGACAGCAGCCTGGACACAGGTACTTGGGATAATCTCCTATTCTGTGGAAAGTTCTAGTCTCTGAGGGAGGAACTGCGATTTCTGGTCCAGACCTGAGTGGAGGCAGGACTCAGAAAAGCTGGAATCAGACCTTCAAACATTTGAGTGTGAGGCAGAGAACAAGGCCTGAGAGAAAAAGTCACGGTGCCCAAGGCGGCTGCAGGGGTCAAAGGGGGCCCCTGATCAGTATTCCAGGGACTGTCTTCCCCTCCATGTCCTCAGAGAAGTCATCCTTTAATTGTCCTAGAGAGCAGAAGGGGCCTCAGAGGAAACTCATGCCATTCTCCATTCAAGGGAGGGCGATATTCTAGCTCTGATCCCATTTCCTCCCCTCCTCGTGGGAGGCCATCCCGGGAGATCTACAGGAGATGGGGAAGGCTCCCCACTGCCCCTGGTACCCGCGCGCTGCAGCGTCTCCTTCCCGTTCTCGAGGTATCTGAGGAGCCCCTCCACGCACGTGCCCTCCAGGTAGGCTCTCCTTTGCTCCGCCGCATTGGCCGCCTCCCACTTGCGCTTGGTGATCTGAGCCGCCATGTCCGCGGCGGTCCAGGAGCGCAGGTCCTCGTTCAGGGCGATGTAATCCTTGCCGTCGTAGGCGTCCTGCGGGTACCCCCGGAGGAAGCGCCCCTCGGGCCCCACGTCGCAGCCGTACATCCACTGGATGGTGTGAGACCCTGGCCCCGCCCCCGCGGTCAGCCCCGCCCACCGAGTCCCGCCCCCGCCCCGACCAACCCGCGGGGATTTTGGCCTAAACCGAAAATGAAACTCGGTAAAGGCGCCTGGGGCTCTCCCGGGTCGAGGGTCTGGGCGGGTCCCGCAGCCTCGGGGTGGACCTCGGACCCGGACACTCGGAGACCCGGGCGGTGCCTGCAGGATGGGGAGGAGCAGTGATCTGCGAACCGGGCCGGGGGTCACTCACCGGCGTCGCTCTGGTTGTAGTAGCCGCGCAGGGTCCGCAGGTCCACTCGGTCAGTCTGTGCGTTGGCCTTGGCGTTCCGTGTCTGCTGGTCCCAATACTCCGGCCCCTCCTGCTCTATCCACGGCGCTCGCGGCTCCACCCTCGGATTCGCGGCGTCGCTGTCGAACCGCACGAACTGCGTGTCGTCCACGTAGCCCACGGCGATGAAGCGGGGCTCCCCGCGGCCGGGCCGGGACACGGAGGTGTAGAAATACCTCAGGGAGTGGGAGCCTGGGGGCGAGGAGGGCTGAGACTCACTGACCTTCCTCCCGCCGCGGCTCCTCGGGTCCTGCGTCCCAGTCCCCTCTCTCCTCCCCAGAGACTCCGTTTCCCTCCCGACCCCGCACTCACCTGCCCAGGTCTGTGTCAGGAACAGGACCTCCGAGAGCAGCAGGAGGAGGGTTCGGGGCGCCATGACCGCCATCCTCGGCGTCTGGGGAGAATCTGAGTCCGGGTGGGTGACTGGGGACTTTAGAACCGGGACCGCGGCGACGCTGATTGGCTTCTCTAGAAACCCGACACTCAATGGGAGTGAGAACTGAGGAGGCGTCACGAGTATCCAGGAGGAAGGACCCGACACAGGTTGGGAGAGGAAGAGAAACTCTGGGGAGATGGGGAATCCCCAGCGCTGCGCCTCCCCAATGCAGACAAGGCCCTCTGTGCAGGTGCCGGAGACCGTGAGAACCACGCCTGGGACCTGGGACTTTGTCCCGATCCATCTTCTACACGAAGCCTCTTTGTCACACTGTCTGCCAGAGTCCTGGCCGAGGATCTGTCTGTGGAAACCAGGGAGAGATGCCCAGGCTGCGCCCAGCCCCTTCCCCTTCACCTTTCGTCCTGGAATCCCCGTCCCTGAACTGGACTCCCTGCCTCCCACGCCTTACCTCTCCCCTTGGACTCTTGTACAAAGAAACTCACCACGGGGAACTTGATGCCAGAGAGTGAGCTCGCCCTGGGAATGGAGGTGTAGAGACAGGGTTTTCTCTTTAAACCTGGTGAAGTTTTGCCTGAAGGCACCAGATGGAGATTCTCATAGAGACCAGTTTCCTTTTTGTTTATTAATACAGTAGATAGCACAATATTGGTAATCTCTGAATGATTAGGATTCCAATCTGTCAAAGACCTGCGTCAAACAGAATTACAATTAAACTCTCAAAGATCCTAAATTTTACTTTCCCAGACTATGGATCTGTGCCTCTGGTTGTTGCATTGAAAATTATCTTCATTCCCTTGCTCGAATTTCCCTGTGTGAGTCTAGAATATCTCCTGAATACAAAGAAGCAGGGTTTGATACTGTGTATTGAACTGGCATCCTGTAGTCACCACCTCAAAGTTGCAAGTGCTCCATGCAGTCCCAGTGTTCTTCACCGAGGCTCCAGCACTGCCTGCTTTCGTGAACTATGGACATCTAAGCAGTGTGCATATTTTATTCGGACATTTGGTATTTCTATAACTTTTTTTTTTTTAATCATGAGGAAGCCATTAGTTTTTAGGCAGTCCCACACAAAATGTACTAAATACCAAGTGCAAAGAAACCCCTGCTAGGCTCTTCCACTGCTTTAAAATTCTATCCTCTGCTCCTTTTCCTCACCTCCTGCTTCCCCAGCCCTTCTCTCTGCCCCCTCATCCCTCACACCCTTCCCTCCCCTCAGTTCCCACAGCCCAGTGACTCTCAAATTGTGGCAGTGTAGAGAACAGTTTCTTTTTCCTAAAAACTTTCTTTCTGTCCCTTTCTATTTAATCCCTGGCTCCTACCCTCACCCCTTCCCTTCACTCAACCACTGCTCTGCTTTCTGTCACTGCAGTAGTGTAATTTCTAGAATTTCATGGACATGCAATTATATGTGATGTAGTCCTTTGTTTGGTCTCTCACTCAGCATAACAATGTTTGAGATGATGCCATTCATTCATTTTTGTTGCTGAGCAGCTGCTGAGTGTTGCTGGAATCCCAGTTTACTCATTGTTTTCTCTATTCTCCAGTTGATAAACATGTGGATTACTCCAGTTAGGGTGTGTTACTAATGAAGCCACTATAGATAACTGTTCACAAGTGTGGCCTTACATTTTAATTTTTTTTTTTTGGTTAAATACATATTTGTGGGATTGCCGGGTCCTGTAGTAATGGATGGGCAGCTGTATAAGAAATTGCCAAACCACTTTACAAATTGGCTGCCACATTTTTTGCATTTCTACCAGCAACATCAGACATTCCTATTTTTTTCACATTCTTGCCAGTATTTAGACTTATCATATGTCTTTTTAACTTACCTATTCTAGGT